GTGTAAGAAATTGTAAGAATATATAAAAGTATACTGTAATCATCATTCCCATTATATTGTTTGAAGCCTTATAATGTTTTCATTTATTAGTCGGAATGGTTTTCTTCTGGGTTGTTTGATTTTATTATCTGTGATGGTATGATAGCTATTTTGAAGAAAACAAGACATTATAATAGCTAGTGCTGATTTAATGCCATCTTGTTTTGAAGCCCTATCAAGCCTTTATTCTTCTGTCTCCATCGGTTTTATCATGTTGTATCTTATTGGATTTTGTTATATGTGATAATATCAACAAAATTTTTTATGGACAAGGAGATAATATAGTAACCATTGTTCATATTCTGTTCGTTGGTTTTGAATACCCTGTAATACTCTCATTCTCTTGGTTTTATACTGTTCTGTTATGTTTGATACTATAGTGTATGAAGGTATACTCAACTATTTCAAGGAAAGAGATTCTATGGTAGCTACTGTTATGTCGGGTTGTCTTGTGGTGAAACACTATGTTGCTTTAATTGTTGTGTTCTGATCTGTTTTGTTATGTTCTCTTTTAGCTTAATCTTTTTTTAAAAAGTATGATCACATTGAGATATTTATAAATAAATGGACACAACTTGAGACCATACTCATATATGAAATAAATCAAACTAACAGGTATGAAAACTTTACAGTCTCCCTAGTGTAAGAAATGGTAAGAGTACATAGGAGTTTATGGTCATCATGATTCCCCATTACATTGCTCTGAATCCTTATAATGGTTTCATTCATTAGTTGGAATGGTTTTATCCTGGTTTGTTTGATTGTATTATCTGTGATGATATGAACAGTTATTTTGAAGAAAATAAGACATTACAATAGCTAGTGCTTATTCAATATCATCTTGCTTTGAAGTCCTACCATGGTTTTGTTCTTCTGTTTCCATTGGTTCTGTCATGTTTTATCTTACTGGATTTTAATATGTGTGATAGTATAAACAAATTTTTATGGACAATAATATCACAGCCATTGTTTTTTTTTTCTGATGTTTGGTTCTGAGTGTCCTGTAATACTTTCATTCTCTTCAATGGTTTTATACTATTTTGTTATGTTTGATATGATTGTATATGAAGGTATGTTCAACTATTTCAAAGAAAGAGATATTGTGGTAGTCACTGTTAATTACGGTTTGTCTTCTGGTGAAATACTGTGTTGCTTACATTGCTCTATTTTGATCTGCTTTGTTATGTCCTCTTTTGTCTTAATCTCTTCAAAATAAAAAAAATTTAAAAACAAAGTACGAAACTTGAGTGCTCTGAAATGGGCCAGGACTCTCATAAAGAGGCATCTGTGCTCCCGAAAGAGTTCAGGGTTCTCTAGACCAAGACTGGACAGCACAGATAACCCTACTGATGCACTTCATTTCCAACTAGTTGCCTGTTCTACACCGCTGTCCACTCAGGGACACCGGGTTTAGGCTCAGAAGGCTGAGCAGGTCATGATAACAAAGGCCTGTAAATCGAGCACCTGGGAGGATGAAGCAGGAGGATCTCCTAGAGTTTGAGGCCAGCAGGGCTACATGATGAATTCGAACTCACTATAAGTGAATGAATTTGGAACATAGACGCCTTGTCTTTAAAACAGAAAACCAAACCACAAAACGTTCTGGGAACTACAGAGGACCAAGATCCTTGCAAATGAATCTTCCAGGCCAGGGGATTGGATTCTCCCAACCTGGGAGTGAAGGCAGAGCCATGCCTCCAGCTGCTTCCTGTCTTCATGTCTTTTCCTTGGCCTCTTGCAGGCCTGGGAACTTTTTTTTATCCAGGACAGGAGACGCCTTGGACCTTGGTGGACAACGCTCTGTGCTTCGCTCACTTGAGGGCAGCTGGCCTGCTCCGCGCATGCAGGGTCCACAAGGCGTGATGGGGACGCGGCCAGCAGGGAGCCCTCTCCACTACCCTGCAGCCTCTGTCCTGCCTCCCACTCTGGCCACCTTTGCTTGGGTCCCTCGCAACAGGCCGAGGAGCTGGTTCCTGCGAGCTCTGTGGCCATGGCCTGGAGTCCTCACATCCGAGAGGCCGCCCTGACCGCACTCCTGGAGAGCAGAAGCCCCTTCACCAGGAGTGGCTAAGGCTGCAATCTCCCAGGAGGCCGGCAGGGAATACAGAACAGGACCCGCCGCCCGGATCTAGATAGGATTGTTCAGCTCCAGCGCTGCTTCCTTCCTGCCGCTGGGCTGTCACCCCTGCAGTCTCGGGATTCTGTGGGGACGCCCACAGGTTTGGTGACCCTCTCTGCACCGGGGCGACTACACCAGAACGATTGCTTTCTGGTCTTTCAGCAGCATCACTGCTCCCCACTCCCATCCCCTCTGCTGCTCCACTTAGAGCACAATTTTCCTTCCTCCATGTTCCAGGGAAGCATATCTTTAGGAAGCCTGTTTCAGAAAAGCTCGCATCTGAGGTCAGCAGTGCACACTGGAAAGCACACGGGGGCGCCAGCGGCCCGCCAAGGGACATCCTGCTGAGGGATGCCTGCAGGGGCCAGGAGCCTTCAGTGGTTAGTCCATCCCAGGTTCTGAGGAGGGACAAGCTCAAATTTGTGTATAACGACGGTTGTCAAGTACAGCAATCATTTACAATAGGGCCTACTAACACATCCCTTTTAGGGACAGATAAATGACTGATAAGTGCTCACGTGATAATATGAACATAGGTTTATGGTATCCAGTGTTTTTTAGGCAAAATGAAACAATTATTCTAAATGATTCAACAAAATAGAAAATGGGAATTTAACTCCAGCGCACTCCTTTACTTGGAAATGCAGTGTTTATCTGAAAAGGAAATTTCCTGGGCCTATCTGGCCACAGCCTAATTCAGGCATGACTAGAGCAGGTACAGAGCTGTGTCTGTTTGCGACCACAGGAGTAGTTATTTCCCTTCCTCTGTCCTCCTTGTTCTCATGAGAGTCTCGCTGGCAGCCAAGCAGTTTTAGAAAGAAAAAGAGGTAAGGTCTTTAAATGGGAAGCCAGGTTTGCATGGCAGTAATCCCAGCACCCTGGGAGACTGGGGCAGGAGCATACAAATGCCTTAGGGATTTAAGGAGCCTGTATTAAAAGGAGGGGAGGCTGAGAAGTAGCTCACAGGGAAGGCCTTGGTTTCAACCCTGTATACCACAAAAACAAAAACACCTTAAATAAAAATGTTTAGAAATTCCAGCCCACCTTTCCACAATATGCTAACATTCAGAATATCTCATGAGGGGCTACTATATCCACATCTAACACCTAATTCTGTCCCTAAGCCCTATAAATATAAGGCAATGGAAGATGGAAAAGAGACTCTAATGAGCAGATTGTCACTATGAGACCTGTAGAGAACAGTCTGAGACAGAGTGGAATACAATAGAGTCCCAAATGAGAGTTGGCAAAGTGCGTGATATTTATCTGCTAGCTTCCTATTTTTATTGACTGAGGATCCATCCTGAGACTTTAACTGGTTTTAGCTGTTCTGTGGTGTATGCAGGTGAGTGTGACTGACAGTGGCATGTGAGTCCCAAGGCACAGAACGGCTATGCTCTAGCCTAGTGCCAGATGGCCTGCTCCAAAGGCTCTGGTGAGCACCATGTCTCGTGTTTCCAGTTCTCTTAGAAAACTGAAAACCTGATGTGAAGACTTAAATTGATCGGTGCATTGTCTTTATGTCTGAAAGTAAATTTAGTGACTCCAAAGTGATACCCTAAGGTACAGTTTCCTTGTCAATGCCTGAGCATCTGCTCAAGGGCTGACCAAGAGACATTTCTGCTTTCCTGTCTTTGGTCTCCCTGTTCCCAAGTACAGTTAACCACCACCAAATCCTTATCCACACATAGGCTTTGCCAGAGGTGGGAACTGCTGAGAAAGAAGTATGTCAGGATGCTTTCAGCCTCTCTCCTCAACAGAGTCAACAAATATGTTTCAGTACTGGGTGAAATAAAAATAAAAATAAAAACAAAGAGGAATGAACACACAGATGGAGAGGGATGAGTGCCAGGAGCAGGCACCCACCCCTATGGGGAAGTAGAGGATTGGGACCTTACCTGGAGAAGGTGTGACTGGCCCAAGGCCCTGAGGCTGGAAGAGCAGACAGAAACATGGGGGGCTTGAAGAACCTATTCCTGGCACAGCTATAAGCCAGAAATAAGACTGAAATGCAAATTGCCCAATTAAGAAATTTGTGTGGTCAAATGAATGATTCACACAATAAAGTCCCATAAAAACTGTGACAAAGCTGGAAAAGCCTGACAAAGGAGCATGAAAGGTGACAATGGGAAGGAAATTATGCTATTTTGCTATCTGTGTCTGCTCTCCTTCCCTTCAGCCCTTTCCCTGAGATTTCTGACCACCTTGTGAGTGTAGGCAGCGCTTTCTGTTCTGAGTGTGAACTGCACTCCTTCCTCCAGTTGTGATTCCTCTGGAGTCTTCTATAGATAGTGTCGCTACTGAGGGTCTTTGGGACTCTTTCCTTTGAGGCTCATTCCCTTCAGTTCTCATTCCCCTGTTTCTCCAGCCTGTAACTCCAAATCTGTGTAATCAACAAAACTTCTGCTACCATATGCAGTCACTTCTTTTATACAAACATTGGTGGCTGGGGATGTAGTTCAGAGGCAGAGAGCTTGCCTGGCAGGCAGGAGAGCTGGGTTCAACTGCTGATATCACATAAAATGACACAAACACTGGAGATAATATTGAGATAATAATTGTGCCTTTTTTCTAAAAGTGAAGCAGAGAAGATTGTTCACTTTTGCACAGATGATAAGCAGTAGGCTCAGGCCCCCTGTTGCTCGAGGAGCCTCTCAAGAGGATGGTAGTAAAGGTGAGCTTTATGGAGCACACGGAGCCAGGGTAGATGGTTGGTGGGGATGATCCCTCTTTGCCAAATAAGCTGCATTTTGTTGCTATGTTTGTTATACGTCTTTTTTTATCCCTCAATTTCTACTAAAATCTTATTCATACATTTCAGTTTTTAATGTCAGCTATGTTATAGAGTAGTAGGAAAATGTTTTGTTCCAAAATATCGTCCAACTAGGAATCAGAAGAGTAGAGTAAATCTCTGAAGGTAAGGGCCAGGACTTTATGATCTCAGTGCTTTTCCCTCCTTGAAATTCCCTGGAGCCTATTCTTAGAGACCTGGGTTAATTACAGAAAACAGCAACCACATTCTGCCTTCCTGTAGACCAGAGCCTGGAGTGGACCGACATGATGTCTGGGGTCTCTGGATAGAGAGGGTTGGAGCAAGCCTCAAATGAAAAGCCAAGAACTACACGGCCATTTCTGCTCATGATTTTCTCCCTTGCACGTCTATAACACGATTGGAAATGCTCTATTCTAACTAGAAAAGCCAGGAAAGTAACTATTTTAAACACACAAATGTGAGCTTTCTTTCTCAAAGTTTCTCAAAAGTCACAGATGTATAAGTTTTATTTTCTTCTTTGCCTTCTCTCCACCCTCCACCCATCCTTCTGGTCTCCATGACCCCTTGCCCACTCACAGTGTGTGTGTGTGTGTGTGTGTGTGTGTGTGTGTGTGTGTGTGTGCACATGTCAGCGTGCCTTCCTCTATCTCTTCTTTTTCACTCTCATTTTGTGCCTCAATCCTTTGTAGTTATGCATACACTCACCTTGTTTTGGTATCAGGGATCAAACTCATGACTTCACACTTTCCATACAAGTGCTTGAGCCACTGAGCTGAATCCCTGACCCCTACACTCAATTTTTATCCTGTTCTTCAAAATATAGTAGTTTTCAAATTAGTAGAATTAGATTTGATTTCTAAATTTTTTTGGCTTTCAAACTTTTGAAGATTTATTTAGAGTAGATCTCATTTAAAATTATCTTTGATTACCAAATTTCCACATTTGTCTCAACTGAAGTCAGCTTTACTTAAGGATTATAAGCTATGGAACCCACAGTTATAAGCTTTGGAAAGTGACATTTAATTTTCAGATATTTATGTCTAAGCACTACCACAGTGAGGAAGAGGAAGGGACTGTCCCTAAATCTATGGTCACCCTCTGAGCAAATGCTTGTCTCCCTGCTGGGCTTCAATGTGTCCTTTATCACTGTGGGTCTTGTTCCTGATATTTCACCTCTTCTTCTAAATGTCTTTGGGATTTTCCGAAGTTACTTCCTCTCCATGATCAGAAGCTGAAGCTGATTCCCAATTCCAGTTTAACTCACTTGGCAGATCTTGACATAATCCCACACAGACATACATATGTAGCAAAAACTGTAGGGTCAAGGTTGTGTAGTAAATGATATAAGGCAAGACAGAAATTAGTGACTGGAGGCCTGAAACAGAAAAAAGAGAAGAGACACTACTTAGACACCAGAGGGATCTGGCTGAGTTCTGTCTGGAATGAGATTGACTGAGGCCTAGTGTGCTAGTCCCCATGAGGCACTGGCAATTTGGGGGCCTGGAGAACTGGGGGAGCTCCAGCTGGGCTCTATGCTGTCTGTGCAGGGACAAACTCCTTGGAAGAGTTTAACTACCAGGGACCCAAGCTAAGGATTTACTCCTTAATTTCAGAGATCACTGCTATTTCTACCTTTTTTAATACTTGGGTTGAAGATTAACTTTATTTTGTTTTTCCCAAACAATCTTTCCTCCTGAACTCACCATTTCACTACCTCTCTTAACAGACACTCGGGCAGGTTCTTATGTGCTGTCTACAAGATCACTTCCTATAAATCCACTGTGTGAATAAAAAACGACACCCTAGTATCTGTATTCCCAGATCCACTAGCAGCAGACAGGAGAAGCTCAGTATATTCTGGTGAGATGGTTGGTGAGGGACAGGGCAGGGATGTGAACAGAAAAGTGGGCAACAAGGTGGCACAAGAGTGACAGCAAGTGAGAAAACAAAATGAAGGAGAAGAAAAGAAGGAAGAATGAGATGAAGGGAAGGAAAATAAAAGGCAGGAAGGGAAACAATGAAGTCTGTGAAGTGCATATTAAAGTTCTGAACCAATGGTGCAAAGGCCCAACCCCAAGCTTTTCCTAGAAACACTTCCTCCTTCTGGCTGGGCCATCACCAAACCCCTAAACAAGCCTCAGCTCCATGGCAGCAAATGTCCCCTTCTCCTTTGCCAGTGGCTTCCAATCCTCACTGATCACACACTTGAAGCTCCAACACAGGGCTGTGCTTAAGGGCATTTCCATCTTCTGTGGCTGCCTCACACCAGTAGGCCCCAGAACCATTTGTTCTAGCAGTTAGAATGTGGTACTCAGAGGATGTATTCCTGGCCCTCAGCGTCATGTTGCCCATGTGGAAGGAGAAGTAAAGCTGCACGCCAGAACTCTATGGGAGCAACTTTGTCTCACAGCTCAGCTTGACTAGTTTCCTCTGCCAAGGTGGGGATGACAAGGATGAGATTAGCACTGGATGTGGAAACAGCTTTGAAGGGAAAGTTGATAGGGGACAGAGTTGTCTCCTTCAGCATCAAGGTTCTTTCACAAGGTCATACCCTCTCCCACCTTGGAAACTTGTCCCCAAGAAATTGCATCCATAAGCTGAATTTTTCCCGCTTAAAAGAGGGTCGCTATGGAGTTTCCTAACAGACATAATTAAGGCCACCAGCTTGCTTGCATCCATAGAGGAGAATTCCTTTATATGGGCCCAATCTTCTCCAAAAGGTCATGTTATTATATGACTGCATCCTCTTACTAATGATCTACCCAGAGTAGGCACTAGCTCACATCCTTGCCAGTTCAGTGATTCCTTACTTGTGCTCCTCTCTCAAACAATAATCTGAGACAGTAATTTTGTTCCCCCAGGAATGAATTTTTTTTTGATGGAAAAATGTCACTGGTGACTATGGGTGCTAAGAGGAAAGATCTTGGAATAGTCAGAGCAAGAGCTACATGTAAACTTGGACAGGTGAAGCTGATTAGTTTGCAGATGTTCAGAGAGAAGTAGGACCAGAAAGGCTGTACTGTCCTTGAGAGACAGATGAAAAGTTTAACCAGCTCCTACTGTCTTTCTGGTTTGCACTTCCATGGTACATTCATGAAATTCTACTGGGCTATTTTCTAATAACTCTTCTAGCTAACTTGAAGGAGTCTCTGTTCTTTGCAAATAAAAATCAATTGATAAAATGGGTTTTCCTTATGTTCTGGCTTTGAGTTTAGCTCCTGTGATTGATAGGACATGGTATACGGGAAAGAGCAACGGAAGAGACCCACACACTGAAGCAGTTTATCTCTTATGAATTGAAATGAGGATTTAGATGATTTATGCTTGGCCTTTGGATCTTTACAACTAGAGCTCTATAACTATTTAGATACAATACCTTTCACCATCACAGGTACTCTTGTTGACGTGAAGGGTACAGGTGAAGGGACAGGTCCCTTGCCTGAGCGGTGATACACACTACTGTGATTCATGTTGGCTTTCAGAATAGTGAGTGCAGAATCTCGATCAGAAAACTTAATAGGCTTCCTGTTTGGATAGAAGACCACATTATATACCAGCTTATTCTTCCATCCATGACACCTCATGGTCAAAGGTTTTCCTTCAGTGAGGACTCTCTTGGAAGGCTGAAGCGGCAGCCAAGCTGAAAAAAAAAAGACCCCAAAATGAATAAAAACAATGCAGTTCCCAGTTGACAAGGAAGGGGGACATCAGGTCCATAATGACAAGGAAGTAAACTCTGCTGATGACCCTGGAAAAGGGCCACAAAGGAGCACAGTTCTGTCAACACCCTGCTCGGAGCCTGTGTTAAGACTCTAAGTGGAGCATGCTGCTAAGCCGGATCCATGAAACTGGTGGATAATAAATGTGTTGTTTTAACTTGTTAAGTCCCTGATAATTTGTTACATTAAAATGAAATACCAAATGTATCCCTAACTTCTGAAAAATTTGTTAATAGGGTGACATATTTTAAGACAAAATAGCAATCATATCCAGATGTCTGTGAGCTACAGAATTGGTCGGAATACCCACACACAATTTCATCAGCCAAAACAAAAAATGTCAGGTCAAATGCTCTCCCCCTTCAATATACACCTCTGTACTTAACCATGAAAGTTTCCCCTAGTTTTTATTTTCCTGTGACTATTAGATTACATAAATTTAGGCTTTCAGAGACATGAGGAGGAGAAATGACAGTAGGGCTTTTCTCCCTTCAGAACATATGTAAGAATGAAAGGCAGGTATTTCAGTGCTATGCATAGAGCAATTTTTGTAGTCTTTGATGCTGCCCTAGTGAAAAGGCAAGCCACAGAGTGTGAGACTGTATGTGCAGTGCTTGAAAAAAGACTCATTGCAGATATATAAATAACTGCTGTATGTCAATAAGAAAAAGACAGCTATCAGAAAAATAGGCAAAACGATCTGGCCAGATACTTTATAAAAGAGGCTATTCAAATACATACTAGACATGTGAAAATTGTTGATATCGTAGTCATTAAAGAAACACAAATTAAAACTGCAATGTGTTATTACTACACATCTACTAGAATGGCAAAAATGAAAACATTTAGTGTTGAGGATCATGGAAAGGAACTAAATCTCTTATCCTCTGTATAAAATGATAAATTATGCATTGGTACAACAGCTCTGAAAACCTATTTAGCAGTCTCTCTGAAAACTGAAATATACCTATTTTGTGACCCAGCAATTCCACTCTTACGAATTTTCCAGCGATAGGCATTTATGTACACCAAAGTATTACCGATAGCAAAATTAGATAGAATTTCATAGGCAGCTCAAAAGGAATCAGGCCCAAGATAGAGTCAGAACAGAGAGGAGACAAACCAACCCTGTAGTTAAGGGTTAAATGGATAGAAACTGGGTCCCAAGATGGATACATGATCATGAGGCGTACAAGCCTTCGCAGAGATGACCAACAAAGGGCCAAAGCTTTGCTGTATCTAGCACTATTATAGGCCGCTAAGTTAGACACACATTAATAGACAGTGAGACAGGAGTAGGCCCCCGAAGGAGTCAGTGCAGAAGATGAGAATGCGTCACAACTCAGGTTTGAGGGGCATATGTTGAAGCCAACGCCTCACGATAAAGATGCAATGACCAGGTCTACATGCTTCCATGAGGGTTAAACAGTAACTTGAGACTGTACTATTGTACTATGATTGGTATCATCTGCTCAAGTAAAGTGCAGATAGACCTCAGTCCCTCAGATGGTTGGCTGAAACATCTGGATCCAGTTACTCAGGTGGGTGACCAGAGCATCCAGTCCCATCCCTTCCCCAAAATGCCTTTGTTCTTCCCATGTACCCTTGCTATGTGACTGGCTTCTCTGTTGGATCAGTATTAGCTTAGCAGTTATACTGTAATGCCACAGGCCAACTCTAGTTTCCTTTTATTGCTAAAATTCTGATATACATAATGATAACATTCATCATAGGGAAGTTGTACATGTACACGACACATCTTCCTTTTTTTCCCAATTCCCCTCCCCTCTCTTCAATCCTTCTTCCCCTTTTTATTTTCAAAAGCTTTATTTCCATTTTTTCCCTGGGTCTTTCCTTCCCATTCATGAGCAACGAATATCTTTCCATTTTCTGATATCCTCTTAAATCTCCCTTTTTAGGGTACTATAGTTTTCAGTGTAAAGATGATTACTTCATTAGACTGATTTGTATGTACTTCATGTGGGGTTTTATTTTGGATGCTATTGAGAAAGGTATTGTTTCACTAATTTCTCTCAGAGTATTTGCTATTTGTGTATTGGACCACTTTTAATTTTTGATTATTGAGTTTGTATTCAGCTATGCTACTGAATTTGATTAATAAACCTAGAGGTCTCTTGGTGGAGCTTTTGGGGTTTTCTACGTAGAGTATTATGTCACCTTCAAATAAGGATAATTTAACTGTTTTCTTTCCTATCTGTATTCCATTTCTTTTGTCAAATTGCTCTGGTTAATGTTTCCAGAGCTATGCTGAATAAGAGTGGAAACACTGAACATCTTTGTGTTGCTCCTCATTTTAGAGTGAAAGTTTTCAGTTTTTGTCCATTTAGTATAACACTGGCTGTTGGTTTGTCATAGATGGTTTTTATCAGATTGAGATAAAGACCATCTATTACAATTTTCTGTAGTTTTTATCAGGAGCAGCTGTTGGACTTTACCAAATGCTTTTTTTGCATTTATTGAGATGATCATGTGGTTTTTGTCCTTGGCTTTGTTAATATGGTGTATTACATTTATCGATATTTGCATATTGAGCCATCCCAGGGTGAATCCTTCTTGGTCATGGTGTGTAACCTCTGATGATTTGCTGAATTCCACTTACCATATCTTATCCAGGATGTTTGTGTCTGTGTTAATTAGGGAGACTGCGCTATAGTCCTCTTTTTCTGCTGGGTCTTTCTTTGGTTTTGGTATCAGTGCACTTCTTGCTTCCAGAAGTGAGTCTGGGAATACCACTTCTCTTTCCATTTCAATAAAGAGTTTGATAAGCAGCAGCATTGAGTCTTCTTTAAATGTCTTGCAGAATTCAGCAGAGTATCTAACAGCAATGAATTTGTCAGGAACTGAGTTTTTCTTTCTTGGTGGGTTTTAATTACCTCTTCCATTTCATTGACTGATATTGGTTTATTTAGTATTTTTATGTTTTCTTAATTCTGTTTTGGTAATTCATATGTATCAAGAAATCTGTCTACTTCTTTTGCTTTTTACATCTTATTAGAATACAAGTTCTTGAAGTAGGTTTGGATAATCTCCTGGATTTCTGCAGCATCTGCTTTGATTTCATCCTTTTCATTCCTAACTGCATGGCTCCAAGACTTTTCTTTTCCCTTTTTGGATAAGGTTGACTAATGGATTGATGGTTTTGTTTAACCTTTCATTTTTTTAATGGATTACATATTGTCATCTTAGAAATAATTGTTCAAGTCACAAAATTAAAGCTTGTAAAGTGGACATTCCAACAGTGAGACTGCAAACAGTTCTGTTCAATGATCCAATAAAACTCAGTGATATCATTTTCTATCTTATACACTTAAACATACGTGCAGTTATATCATTTAGAGCACTTTCTTTTCCTCTCTTTTGTACAATGACAATTACACATTTTGGGTTTTGTTACTCCCACAGTTCTTATTACTTTTTTGGAAGAGAGTAGAACCAAATGTGACATAACAGAACAGAGTCAATCAAATCAAAAGGTTGGACATAATAGATAATGTAAAAGCATAATACAAGGTGATCAATAATGATTACCATAATGCCTCCCGCTATCTCTAATAGAATTGCCTATATCATCAGTTATAATAAAATTGAACAAAACAGTAAAGAACAAAACCGACAAAACCAAAACATTGGAGACATTGTAGGTCTTCAAAAGTAGAAAAAAGTCATCGAGAATGGGTGTCATAATGAATCTCACTATCTTCACACCTGTTGCCTAAACTATTTAACCTTTCAAAGAACCAACTGTTTTTATTGGTTTCTTTGTATTGTTTTCTTGGTCTCTATTGCATTGATTTCTGCTCTGATCTTATTAATTTATTTAGTCTTTTTGAGCCAGGGTTTCCTGGTGCAATTGAGGCTGGCCTTGAACTTTCAGCAATCCTGTGTCAGCCTCCTGAGTCCTGGGATAACAGGTGGGCATCACCACACCGGGTTCTGGTCTGCTGTTAATTTCCTTCTTTTTATAATTTGCTCTCTTTTTCTAGAAGCTTGAAGTTCAACATGAGCTTGATTATTTGAGTTTGCACTGTTTTCCTGATATGGGAATTCACTGCTTGTAAGAGAACTTTCAATGTGGGCCATAAATTCTAATATGTTGTGTTGGCATTATAATTTAATTGTAGAAATTGTCTAATTTTCTCTTTAATTATATCTGTGGCCCACTGGTTGCTCGAAATATTACTTAATTTCCATGTGTATATGAAGTTCTTGTGGTTTCTTTTGTCACTGATTTCCAGTGTCTTTTTTTAATCAGATTTTATTTGTATACTTTAGATATATATATATGTATATCACATTCATCTTAGAAAAGTTGTATCTACAAGTGATATAACTTGTTTTTTTTGTATCCCCCTACCTTTTCTTCAGCCTCCCTTCAAACCTTATTTCCATGTTTTGCTTCTTTTCCCATTTTTAAATCTATTCCCTTGTTTCCTTTTCCCCTCCACCCCCTTGTTCTACTCGCCATTTGAATGTTTTCTTCCTAATTCATAGTTCCTATTACACATTTTGGTCCTTATTTACATTTTTGTTTTCTCACACCAAAGAAACAATGTGATATTTGCACGTGTAGGTCCAATTTATTTCTCTTAAGATTATGGTCTCAAGACACATGTTTTCCTAGAAATATGTTAAGTGTATCTTTATGGCAAAGTAGTACTCCATTGTCTTAAAAAACCCACATCATTATCAATTTACCTGATGGTGGACATTTGCGTTATTTTCAAGATTTGGCTAATACAAACGGTGCTGCTGTAAACATGGCTGTGCATATATTTCTGTGATTTCCAATTTCATTGCACTATGGGATGGTAACATACATGGGCTAATTTCAGTGTCTGCATTTATTTACATATGTTCACTAAGCTCGATTGTGATCTATTTTTGGAAGTGCCCCATGTGC